CGGCACCTGTTGGGAACAAAGCCGCGCTAAAGGCTCACCTCTGCGCCCGGAGAGATCCACTACAGTCCGGAGGAAGCGGCCCGGGGCAACGGTTCGGAACCAGAACCAGAACCGGGTCCAGGTCCAGATCCAATCTGTCTTCCCTTCTAGTTTCACTCCGAACACTTGTTGCTGTTTGATCGGGGAGCAGACCTCCTCCTGTTGCCCCTCCTCCTCCTCCTCTCTGTCTGTCACTTCCAGATCCACTGGAGGGCGGGGCCAACACATGAAACAAAGACGCTGATTGGTCAGAGTGGTCAGAGGAATGCTGTCTGAGCCAATCAGAATGCAACATTGTAGAACTATGCTGCATTTAATGATACAGTGAAACTGGAATGTTCCTGAGGAGGGAAGGGAATGCCAGGAAACAGGAATTAATGGGAATCTTCTCCTTTGATGGATCAATGGCTTCTGGCTGCAGAACCTCTACCTACTGGATAACTTTACCCCGATTAAAACCAGCTGGAGCGGCCTGGTGGTTAGAGCATAGAGCTATGAATCCAGAAGTTCAGAGTTAAAGCTCCACTCCCACAGACAGCCACTCTGGCTCCCTGAGCAAAGACCCTTAACCCCACACTGCTCCCCAAGGGTTAAACACGGAGAATGAATGCTGTAGATCTATAGTCTGTCAGCGGAATGAGAATAAAAACCTCATCCAGTCCTCCTCAGGTTCAGAAGTGTTTGCATATTAACAACAGCAGCTTCAATCCAGTATCGACTTCAGATTCTGAAGTTGACTGATCAGTCCTTTCATCCGGATAAGATTATATTTGTCCAAGATCACAAAGTAACAAACCTTGGTGTTATTTTGGATTAAGGCTAGGCTTAAAACTTTCCTTTTTGATAAAGCTTCTAGTTAGAGTGGCTCAGGTTATCCTGATCTATCTCTATAGTTCTGCTGCTATAGGCTTAGACTGCTGGAGGACATAGGGACCCCTTTTTCATCATTCTGCTTCATTCTATCTCTATTCTCCCACTCTGCAGAATCTGTTAGTTCAATCTCTAACGTTCTGCTCTCTCTGCTTTTTCTCATAGTAGCTTCATCTGGTCTGTTCCTGTTTGGCTGTGACTCCATCCTGGAGAGAAATATCAGCTGTGCTGCTGCCATCAACACCTTTGTTTCTAGATGTTGGAGCTTGGCCTGTTTTCCAGTGTAGTCCTGTTTCTCTGACTGTGACTAACTGGATGTGCCCTCTTCATCCTCTGACATGGGAGCTGGCTCGGAGCTCGTCTGCCTGGCTGTGTATTTCCTGGACGGGGCCGCCTGTGGAGCTGGTTGACAGTTGCCTTTTGTATCTATGCTTCTTTTTCTATGTCTGCTTCTGTCTCCTTGAACCCCAGTGGGCCTCAGCAGATGGCCGCTCACACTGAGCCTGGTTCTGCTGGAGGTTCCTTTTTTCCTCCCACTGTCGCTATAAGCATGCTTCGCTACTATCTCATCTAGGAGAAGAGAATCCTGTAAAGTCAATAACTGGATGATCTAGATCTATAAATTGACCTGAATGACGTCTTGAAGATTAACTTTAGGAACAACTTCAATCACTTCATTTTACAAATGAAAACTAAAAACAATAAACCAGATAAAAACATCAAAATTAGATAAACTAGAAGAAATTAGTGAAAATGCTTTTTTTTGCATTGATTGATTTATAAATACATTAAAAACATATTCTATGAACACCAACATGTTTTATTTCTCCCAATCCGCATTTTATTATTTCCATAATTAAATCTTAAAAATCCAAATAGTATTCTGCTTTAGTTCTGTCAGCAGCTCAATTATTTAAAGCTGAGCAGAAAAAACGAGATGAGGCAGGAAATCCAGTTAACACCAGACCGCTACTCATTAAAGAAAACTAAAATACAGAAACCATCAATAAACATTTTAGATTCATAGATGCCACTTAGCCTTTAGCTAAATCCAGTCTTTATGACAATATGTACGTGTATTAATGCACTGTCCCATTTCAATAACATCAACTAAAAGCTTTAAACATATCTAAATGAATTAGAAACTTTAGAAAGTCACTTTTTCCTTGCATTACTTACCTGAATATCCAAACAGAGCCCAATTATTCATGTTCCCATAATTTTGCCTGCAGGACATATATTCATTTGATTGAAGCTTTGCTTTTACTACTACTGTTTCTCATTTCCCACACGCAGTGAACGCAGCACGGAGCAGTGCCATCCCTGCAGAACTTTCTGGGTCAAAGTGGCCCGGATAGAAGGAGGGCGGCACAGGCGGGTCGACCGGTGTCCATCTGAGGCTCCTGGATCGGAATCAGGAGGGACCCTGAAAAATGCTGAGTCATCGGTTGCTATGGTGATTCCCTCCTTTTCAGGGCAGGAGTCCCAGAGCAGAGTCACTGGATGAAAAGACGTTTAATCGAATCAGAACCTTTTACTGGAACCACATGGGTCTGCAGCATTTCCTGGATCCTGCAGGTTTCACAGAACCTCCAGATCCAGTTCCTCCAGAACCATGAAACAAGCTTTTTCACTATGTGTTCTTGTGGGTCCTCGTGAAACATCATCAGCCTCAGCCCTGGTACAGTTCCAATCACAAGAACAAGAAGACTGAGAATGGACAAAGGCCCCGGATGTTGTTCTGGCCCCTCCCTCTTTACCCAGCATGCATCAGAGCAGACTCCTGACAGCTGTCCCAGCATGCACTGCGGCAGCAGCAGCTTCCAGGTTAGCGCTCACAGAACTCAGAGGATTAAGTTGACTTCCCTGGGTTCTAGTGAAGAACAGACTTGGAGAGAACACGAGTCCGTACTGAGGTTCTAGTGAACTGGGAAATGGTCATAGAGAGTGGGCGTGTCCTTCTGCTCTCTGATTGGTCAAAAACATGTAAGTCCTCCAGCAGAGGGAGACAGAGAGCTATGATTGGATGGAGGAACTGAACCTGAATAGCCCAGAACCTGACGTTAAACCCAGAACCTGAAGTTAAACCCAGAACCTGAAGTTAAACCCAGAACCTGAAGTTAAACCCAGAACCTGACGTTAAACCCAGAACCTGAAATTAAATCCAGAACCTGACGTTAAACCCAGAACCTGAAGTTAAACCCAGAACCTGAAGTTAAACCCAGAACCTGAAGTTAAACCCAGAACCTGACGTTAAACCCAGAACCTGAAGTTAAACCCAGAACCTGAAGTTAAACCCAGAACCTGACGTTAAACCCAGAACCTGAAATTAAATCCAGAACCTGAACCTAAACCCAGAACCTGCAGATGAACCCAGAACCTGAAGTTAAACCCAGAAGCTGAAGTTAAACCCAGAACCTGCAGTTAAACCCAGAACCTGAAGTTAAACCCAGAAGCTGAAGTTAAACCCAGAACCAGCAGATGAACCCAGAACCTGCAGATGAACCCAGAACCTGCAGTTAAACCCAGAACCTGAAGTTAAACCCAGAACCTGCAGTTGAACCCAGAACCTGAAGTTAAACCCAGAACCTGCAGATGAACCCAGAACCTGAAGTTAAACCCAGAACCTGCAGTTAAACCCAGAACCTGAAGTTAAACCCAGAAGCTGAAGTTAAACCCAGAACCTGCAGATGAACCCAGAACCTGAAGTTAAACCCAGAACCTGCAGTTAAACCCAGAACCTGAAGTTAAACCCAGAAGCTGAAGTTAAACCCAGAACCTGCAGATGAACCCAGAACCTGCAGATGAACCCAGAACCTGCAGTTAAACCCAGAACCTGAAGTTAAACCCAGAACCTGAAGTTAAACCCAGAACCTGAAGTTAAACCCAGAACCTGACGTTAAACCCAGAACCTGAAATTAAATCCAGAACCTGACGTTAAACCCAGAACCTGAAGTTAAACCCAGAACCTGAAGTTAAACCCAGAACCTGACGTTAAACCCAGAACCTGAAGTTAAACCCAGAACCTGAAGTTAAACCCAGAACCTGAAGTTAAACCCAGAACCTGACGTTAAACCCAGAACCTGAAATTAAATCCAGAACCTGAACCTAAACCCAGAACCTGCAGATGAACCCAGAACCTGAAGTTAAACCCAGAAGCTGAAGTTAAACCCAGAACCTGCAGTTAAACCCAGAACCTGAAGTTAAACCCAGAACCTGAAGTTAAACCCAGAAGCTGAAGTTAAACCCAGAACCTGCAGATGAACCCAGAACCTGCAGATGAACCCAGAACCTGCAGTTAAACCCAGAACCTGAAGTTAAACCCAGAACCTGCAGTTGAACCCAGAACCTGAAGTTAAACCCAGAACCTGCAGATGAACCCAGAACCTGAAGTTAAACCCAGAACCTGCAGTTAAACCCAGAACCTGCAGTTAAACCCAGAACCTGCAGATGAACCCAGTACCTGAAGTTAAACCCAGAACCTGCAGATGAACCCAGAACCTGAAGTTAAACCCAGAACCTGCAGATGAACCCAGAACCTGCAGTTAAACCCAGAACCTGCAGTTAAACCCAGAACCTGAAGTTAAACCCAGAACCTGCAGTTAAACCCAGAACCTGAAGTTAAACCCAGAACCTGCAGATGAACCCAGAACCTGAAGTTAAACCCAGAACCTGCAGATGAACCCAGAACCTGAAGTTAAACCCAGAACCTGCAGATGAACCCAGAACCTGAAGTTAAACCCAGAACCTGCAGATGAACCCAGAACCTGAAGTTAAACCCAGAACCTGCAGATGAACCCAGAACCTGAAGTTAAACCCAGAACCTGCAGATGAACCCAGAACCTGAAGTTAAACCCAGAACCTGCAGATGAACCCAGAACCTGAAGTTAAACCCAGAACCTGCAGATGAACCCAGAACCACAGAAGAAAAAAGTTTTAATCTTCCGTCCTGGTACATTTTTTGAAATCATGAAATATTCTGTTTCTGAGCATTCAGAGGGACATAGATCCGGTTTGGACTGGTTTCTAAGACTGGTCACGACCTTTGATCCCAGTTCAACCAGCAGGAATAAGGTTGGGAGGCGAGCAGCTAGAGAATAATCAGGATCATCTTTAATTCAGCTTCAGTTTCAATAATATTACAGAAAAAACATCCTGTTTCATACAGTAGTAGAATGCTGAGTCATTGCTGAGTCATTGCTTCATTACAGGTGCTGGTCAGTGTGCAGAGGGACGCTGGGCCCGCTCCAGTGGGACCCATCACTCGGTACCGAGTCAGTTCACAATGACCTGCTGCTTCTTCCTCTTCTTCTTACTCCAAGGGATCTGATTGGTCCTCTCTGGGCAGGGGCCAGGACCCCCAAGATGCTGCGTTTCAGTCACGTAGAAATTTCCACAGCCATGATCTGCCCAATGTGGGAAAACTAAAGAGAAATGTTTCGTTTCACTGATATTTAATCTAAATATCGTTCACAGGATGAATGAGTCGCTCCCCAGCCTGCTGTAACTCAAACGCAGCACGAGCAGCTGAAATCTGCGCTCTATGGTGCATTTGAGGGAACTGGGAAGTTTCAGAATCATTCAGGTTCAAGAATGACGGGATCTCACATTTAGAAACGTTGGATCACAAGCGCTGCCCAGGTGCTGCACCCTGGCTGAAATCACACCTGCCCAAGGAGGAGGCCACGCCCCCTGCAGGGGCATGGGGGGGGTCAAAGGTCAGACATGGTGCTCCATCAAGTCTTCAGGGGGAAAATTTACCGGAAAGTTTCAGTGAACCAGGAACGGTCAAAAGGAATCTGAATTTACAGTAAAATCGACTCGTTTTAGGGCCCTGAAAGCACCATGAGATGAAGGAAGCAGCTGACCTTTGAGCGGGTTTGGCACCGTCAGAGGAGGATTATCTAATCTGAGAGGGATTAGCTCAACTGTCCATGTATGGAACACCTGAAGTTCCACATGAAAGAAATTATATTAAAAAAAAATGTAAATAAAATCTTTAGTTGGGGAAAAACAATCTGAAAAAGAATAAAATCATTTCAACTATTTTCCAATTATTTATTCTGATATATTCGCTACTAGTTGTTTATTTTCTCATCTCCATTAGTTTGATTGAAGGTTAAACCAGAAGTCATTTACAATAAAATATTAATTCACCAAAATATCCTTTTATATATTATTATTATTATTAGGGGTTTTTAGATCAATATTTATTTTCAAAAGTTTGTTTTATTTGAAGTTTTGGGCATTTTTTTTTTGTAATAAGGCTTCAAACAGTGCTAAGCAACTTTTAGCCACCAGGGGCGCTACACCGGCAGCTTGCAGGCCCAGCGCCCCCTGCAGGCCACTGGCAGCATCGTGTTCTGGTTCTGTTATCAGACCAGTTTGGACTGGCAGGTCTAGAATCCTGCTAAAGACGAGCTAACTGTTAGCTTAGTTAGCCGCACTCTGGGTCACATGACCCATCCAGAGGCGGATAGGATCCGCCCACAGGAAGCAGGGAAAAGGTCCGACCCGTGACGCGGCGATACTTCGAGTCCCTGAAGCCTCCCAGAGGTTTCCTGGATTCAAAGCAGGCGTCATTTTGTCTGAACGACTGGCTGTCAGACTGGTTGGTTCTGAAGGCCGGGTCCACTAAGACCTGGAACCGGAACCCAGAACCGGAACCCAGAACCAGCAGGGTTCTGTTGGGTTCAGGGCCGGGGTTTAAAATATTACAATGAAAAACTGTTTGTGATGCTGGGTGGTACGGAGGCCTGGAAGGGCCAAAAAGACTGAAGTCTGGTCATTTTATAGCAGAGCAGAAATTATAGAGAAATAAAAATAATTTAATTAAGTGAAATAAAAGGGATGATTTTAGTGTTTGTCTCTCCTCACATTCAGACTCTGCTGATTTTTGGCTTCCGCTCCATTTATGAAGTTTTTATTAGTGCAACAAAGAGCAGCTGCTCGTCTGCTGCTCCAACAGGTGGGTTCTGATGGCGGCCCGACCCGGGCCCGGTTCTGATCCAGGTTCTGTTCATGGCTTTGACTGCTTCACTGTTCCTGTTCGGTTGGAAATTCCAGAAATACATCAAAGATTTGGGAGGTTTTATTTCTTGGCAGAATTCTAACAGTTCTGGACCGGAACCGGACCGGTACCAGATTGGAACCTGACCTGGACCGGAACCGGAAACTGACCTGGACCGGACCGAACTGGACCGCAACGGTACCGGAGCGGAACTGGACCCGTATTAGAACGGTAGCGGACTGGAATGGAAAGGTTCCGGAGCTGGACCGGAACCGGACCGGAACCAGAAGTGGACCGCCTGATCCTCAGCTGGGATCTGCTGGAGGAGCAAAGCGGCGGTGAAGGACGGAGTAGGAAAGGAAGAAGAAGAAAGGAGAGCAGAGGAAGAGGAAGTCTCTACTTTGACCTACCAGAATAAAACGCACAAAGCAAATGAGGAGGAAGAGGAGGAGGGATGAAGACTACTAAGATGAGAATATTCAACCAGAACCATGGTAATAATAAATAGAATATTAATTAAGAATATTAATCATTATTTTAGGATAATAATATTACAGAATAAATCTTCTTTTATATATTTTTTTTTCACATTTGTTCTCTGTTGAAATACAGTGAGCGCCTCAGCCTGCAGTGGCTCCGATTGGCTGTTGCATATGACATCACAGCTAATGGCCGCCAGATAGACATGCATCACTTCCTGCCCCCACCAACCCCACCCCATTTCCTGTCCAGAAAGGAAGTCTCCTGGCGTTGCCACGGTGATCGGTAGCAGGTGGAGGGTCTGCAGGAGAAGCAGAGAACAGCTCATCAGTCCCGGCGCTGCCCTGCAGAGGGCGGCGGTGAGTCAAACACACCTGCATCATAAGCGGCCGATCACCATGACGTCCACCACCTCGCCCTTGTGCAGCTCTACGTACTGCTCCGTCTTTGGGGGCAGCATCAGCAGGCCGTTGGCGCTTCGCATCGACATGAGGCGGCTGGACACCTGGTTTCCTGCAGCGGCAACAGAGGAGGCGGGGTTAATGAGCTGACCGACTCTAAGCCTGGTTACTGCCGTGTCGGCGCCGGCTCCCAGGACACTTCCTGCCGCGCCACCAGCAAAACAGAGCAGAACCAGGACCTGCTGCTTTCTGATAAATCCTAAAATAAATGTTTTTCTCTATAAATGTTCTGATTTCCCTCTTCTGAGAGAAGCGCTCTGATTGGCTGTCAGAGCTCCTGAGCTAGCCGCCGCCTCCTCTCCTAGCTCTAGAGGGACGTGGTCGGCCGCCTGTCTCACCTAAACTGGGCTGTCTGGGAGGATCCAGAACTTCAAAGGCTTTGTTTGGCTATTAAAGTCAAACTGCGAGTTGCTCCGTAGAATCCCTGTCCTCCATGTTTGCTGTGAAACGGTCTCTGGTCCTTTCTTAGCAAGTTAGCATCTGAAATTCCTAGATTTAAACCCCACCCCCACCCCAACCCTCATTATGTCCACTACCCCTCATGCCACTGCCCTCAGGGGGCAGGGCTAAACGGGAGGACTGGGGGTGTACTGGGACTGGGCTTTAGTCTACCAGAGGAAGACGTTCTGGCCTGAGTGTTTAATGAGGCTCAGGGTCAATGAACTCACCTGTGCTTTGGGCCCAGGGCAGCGGCTCCTGATGGTGCCAGGTCAGGATGCAGCGATGGTACTCAGGTCTGGGGTCCAACTTCACATCACAGGAGAGCTGAAGAGGAAATGACAGAAGATTTTAAAACCAGCAGAAAATGAGGAACCAAGGCAGACCATCCTAAACCATCTGTAACACTGCAGGCGCTGCTGGTCTGGGGCTAACGGAACCCAGCAGACCGCCTTCTGGACCTCATCGCGTCTGAATTCAACATTATTCCAAGACTAACAGCCGCCGTAAGCCGGCCGCCGTTAGCTGGCCGCCGTTAGCTGGCCGCCGTTAGCTGGCCGCCGCTAGCTGGCCGCCGTTAGCTGGCCGCCGTTACCTGGCCGCCGTTAGCTTGCCGCCATTAGCTGGACGCCGTTAGCTTGCCGCCATTAGCTGGCCGCTGTTAGCCAGCCGCCGTTAGCTGGACACCGTTAGCTTGCTGCCATTAGCCGGCCGCTGTTAGCCAGCCGCCGTTAGCTGGACGCCGTTAGCTTGCTGCCATTAGCTGGACGCCGTTAGCTTGCCGCCATTAGCTGGCCGCTGTTAGCCAGCCGCCGTTAGCTGGACACCGTTAGCTTGCCGCCATTAGCCGGCCGCTGTTAGCCAGCCGCCGTTAGCTGGACGCCGTTAGCTTGCTGCCATTAGCTGGACGCCGTTAGCTTGCTGCCATTAGCTGGACGCCGTTAGCTTGCTGCCATTAGCTGGACGCCGTTATCTTGCCGCCATTAGCTGGACGCCGTTAGCTTGCCGCCATTAGCTGGCCGCTGTTAGCCAGCCGCCGTTAGCTGGACACCGTTAGCTTGCCGCCATTAGCCGGCCGCTGTTAGCCAGCCGCCGTTAGCTGGACGCCGTTAGCTTGCTGCCATTAGCTGGCCGCTGTTAGCCAGCCGCCGTTAGCTGGACGCCGTTAGCTTGCCGCCATTAGCTGGCCACTGTTAGCCGGCCGCCATTAGCTGGCCGCTGTTACCTGGCCGCTGTTAGCTGGCTAGCATTCGAGTGGCGGTTGATGATTATCATCTTACTACATATCAGTTGCTTTCTATCTATATTTATCTATGGATTCTAGTTCTCTGACCGACAGCGGCTAGATTTAGCTAGCTAGCTATCTAAATGCTAGCAAGCTCAGTAAATCTAACAGACTGGAGCCTCTTGAATTGCAGCTCTAGCCTCAGACGTAGAGGCACAGCTGGATGAATTTATCAGACATAAATCAGAGGCTCCAACTAACGACAAAGCGAGGGAAGAACGTCATCACGATGGTCTAGGAAGGGCGTCTCCAGCGGACTCTTACCCTGGCTTTAATAATTGTAGGTCTGGGGTCCAGAATTCCTTGCATCTTCCTCAAAGCAGGAATAACAAACAGGTTGCATGTGACCACGGCAGAGACAGGATTACCTGCAGACATCCAAACATGGAGTCAGATTCCTGCTCAGAGCTGCAGGAAGTTTCACAGACAGCATGCAGCCCTGAGGAGCACCTGGCAGAGCGAAGATCAGTTTTCTTGTTCCATCGATGTCGACGGTGGCGAAGGTGGTGGGAAGACTGTAGGACAGAAAAACCTTCAGCAGCAGGATCTGTAGTTCTATGTTTTATGAGTTTTATGGGTTATATCCAACCCTAAGGACAGCTGGGAAAACTGGGCATTTCAAAGGTCCTCTGGCTCTAAATATCAGACGCTGTGCAAAGTGTGCAGCTTGAGCTGCTTTAGGACGAAGGACGTGTGAACAAACAGAAACTCACCCTGGCTTCATAAAGACTCGTCCAAAGTGGATCTGAGCGTGAAGATCGATATCCAGCACCTGTTTCAGGTAATCCTGAGGGAAACAAGCACACAGAGAGCAGCTCAAACACACCTGCAAGAGCTCAGGAGAAACCTTCAAAGATAGCAAAGGTAGATCACCTTCTCCCCCATGGACACGCCCCCTGAGGTGATGATGACATCGGCGCGGCTGATTCCCTCATGCAGGGCTGACAGCAGGTCGTCAGGGCTGCAAACACAAAGACCAGCTCAGTGTCCTGCAGGACGAGACATATGAGACAGGGACAGCACGGCTTCCTACTTGTCTCCTACGATGCCCAGATTGATGGTAGGGTATCCGTGCTCCTGGATGGTGGCCAGAAGGGTGGAGCGGTTGGAGTCCCTGATCTTTCCTGGATGGAGATCATCCTCAGGATTCAGCAGCTGCACACAGACACAGACACATTCAGAGGGTCTCCGTCTGCAGCTGATGGGCGGGTCTGGATCTTCATCTGGGTCTCTACCTCATTTCCAGTAGACATCACGGCCACCACTGGGAATTTGTGCACGCTGACCTCAGTGACCCCCACTGTGGCCAACAGGCCGATCTCTGAGGGGCCCATGTGGGTCCCTTTGGCCAAAACACACTCCCCTCGCCTGATGTCATGGCCGATCGGCCTGGAGACAGAAACACCCACAGTCAGGGAAGATGGATGGATGGATGGATGGATGGATGATGGATGGATGGATGGAAGATGGATGGATGGATGATGGATGGATGGATGGATGATGGATGGATGGATGGATGGATGGATGATGGATGGATGGATGGAAGATGGATGGATGGATGGATTGGGTGATGGATGGATGGGTGGATGGATGGAAAGGAAAGATGGAAAGGATGGATGGTGGATGGGGATGGATGGATGGTGGATGGGAGGAAAAGGATGGAGGAGGATGGATGGATGGTGGTTGATAAATGGTGGAAGGATGGATGATAATGGATGGAAGGAAAAATGGATGGGTGGATGGATGGATGATGGATGGATGGGTGGGTGGAAAGGATGGATGGAAAGGAAGATGGGGTGGTGGATGGGTGGGGGGAAAGGGGTGGGTGGAAAGGGTTTGGTTGGGTGGATGAAGGATGATGGATGGGGTGGATTTGGGTGGATGAAGGATGGATGGATGGTGGGTGGATGGGTGGGTGGATTATGGGGTGGCTGGATGTGGATGGATGGATGGATGGATGGATGATGGGTTTTGGGTGGATTGAAGGAAAATGGATGGATGGATGGAGGTGGTGATGGATGGATGGGGAAGGGTGGGAAGGATGGATGATGGATGATGGGGTGGAGTTTGGAAAGGATGATAAATGGTTTGGGAAAGGGAAAATGGATGATGGATTGGGAAAGGATGAAGGATGGGGTGAAAAAATGGATGGAAGGAAGATGGATGGGGTGGAAAAGGGGATGGGTGGAAGATGGGGATGGGGTGGATGTGGGGTGGATGGATGGATGGGGATGGATGGGGTGGAAGATGGATGGATGGAGGGTGGTTTGGGTGAAAGAATTTTATGATGGATGGGTGTTTAATGGATGGTTGGGGTGATTTAAAAGGATGGAAGGGAAAAATGGATGGTTGGGTGAATGAAAGGGGTGATGGTTGATAAAAAGGATTTATGGATGGATGGAAAGAAGGATGGATGGAGGGGTGGGAAAATGGATGGGTGGATGATGGAGGTTTGGGGGATGGAAAGATGGGAAGGATGGATGATGGATGGATGGATGGATGGATGATGGTTTATGGATGGAAAGGATGATGGGGTGGGAAAGGATGATGGATGGTTGGGATGGATGGGTGGATGATGGATGGTTGGGTGGATGGGGGATGGTGGATTAAAGGATGGGTGGATGATGGATGGGTGGATTTGGGTGGAAGGGTGGATGGATGGAGGGGTGATGGGTGGATGGGTGGATGATAAAAAAGGATGGAAGGGGAAAATGGAGGGATGGTTTGGGTGGGTGGGGTGGATGATGAGGATGGATGGTGGATGGATTGGATGGATGGGTGGTGGAAAGGTTTGGGTGGATTGGGTGGAAAGGATGGGTGGGGTGGGGGTGGATGGGGTGATGGATGGAGGAGGATGATGGATGGGGTGGATGGAAGGATGGGTGATGGATGGTTTTGGGTGATGGATGGATGGTTTGGGTGATGGTGGAGATGGATGGATGGATTGATGGAAAATGGAATGGATGGATGGATGGGGGATGGAGGATGATTGGGTGGATGGGTGGATTGGGGAAAATTTGGGTGGATGGGTGATGGATGATGGAGGGAAAGGATGGATGATGGGGTGGATGGATGGAAGGATGATAAATGGATTGGGGAAAAGGGAAAATGGATGGATGGAAAGGGTGGATGGATGGGTGGATGATGGATGGTTTGGTTGGGTGATAAATGGATGGAAGGAAGATGGTGATGGATGGGGGGGATGGATGGATGGAAAAATGGGGTGGATGGATGTGGATGGATGGAAGGGTGGATGGATGGATGGATGGAAAAATGGATGGATGGTGGATGGATGAAAGGATGATGGTTTGGGTGGGTGGGAAAGGATGGAGGATGTTTAAAAGGAGGGGAAGGGAAAATGGATGGATGGATGGATGGGGTGAATGAATGGATGATGGATGATTTAAAAGGTGAGGGGTGGGTGGATGAAAGGATGGATGGATGGAAGGGTGGATGGATGGATGTTTGGGTGGAGGGGTGGATGGAAGATTTGGGGGGATGGATGAAGGATGGATGGAAGAAGGATGGATGGATGATGGATGGATGGGTGGAGGAAAAGAATGATTGGGATGGGTGGTTTAATTTGGGTGGTTTTGGGTGGGGTAAAAGGATGGAAGGGGAAAATGGATGTTTGGGTGGAAAGGATGGAAGGAAGATGGATGGATGGATGGATGGATGGATGGAAGATGGATGGATGGAAGATGGGGAAAGGGTGATGGATGGATGGTTGGGTGAAAGGAAAGGATGGGGGATGGGGTTATGGAAAAGGGTGGAAAGGGAAAAAGGGTTTGGGTGGAAAGGATTATGGATGGATGGAAGATTTGGGTGGATGGATTTTTTGGGGGGATGGGGGAAAGATAAATGGATATGGGGTGGATTATGAATTTGGGTGGATGGATGATAAAAAGGATGGGTGGATGATGGATGGATGGGTGATGGGGTGGATGGATGTATGGAAGTTGGATGGAAAGGGTTTTGGGGGGATGGATGGGGTGATGGTTTGGATGGATGAATGAAAAGGGGTGTGGATGGGTTATGAATGGATGGATGGATGGATGGATGGAAGATGGGGAAAGGATGAGGGGTGGATGGATGGGTGGATGGAAGAAAGGATGGATGGATGGATGGATGAATGAATGGAAAGATGGATGGGGTGGAAAGATTTAAAAGGATGAGGGAAAGGGTTTTGAATGGAAGGGGGGATTTATGGATGATGGAAGATTGGGAGGGTGATGGATGGATGGGTGGAAAGAAATGAATGGATGATGGATGGTTATGAAATTTGGGTGGATGGATGGTGGATGGATGGGGTGGAAAATGGGTTGGGTGGGGTGGTGGATGAATGAATGGTGATGGGGTGGATGGATGATAAATGGATGATGGTGGATTTTGAAAAGGATGGAAGGATGGGGGGATTTGGGTGGGGAAAAAGGTGGTGAAAAGGGTGATGGATGGAAAGGGGTGGATGATGATGGATGGGTGAAGGATGGATGGGGTGGGGTGGGAAAGAATGGGATGGGATGGATGATAAATGGAATTGGGGAAGGAAGATGGATGGATGGATGGATGATGGATGGGGTGGGTGGATGATAAAAGGAGGAAGGAAAATGGATGGTTGGGATGGGAAGGATGGTGATGGTGGATGGTGATGGATGGATGGATGGGAAAATGGATGGGGGGATGGATGAATGGGTGATGTTTGGGTGGATGATAAATGGATGGAAAAGGGAAAAGTATGGATGGAAGGAAGATGGATGGATGGAAAGGATGGGAAGATGGAAAGGAGGGAAAGGATGATGGATGGATGGATTTAGGATGGGTGATGGAGGATGAATGGGTGGGGTGAATGGATGAATGGATGGATGGATGATTAAAAGGATGATGGATGGGGGGGGATGATGGATGGGGTTTTTGGATGGGTGGATGGGGTGAATTTAATGGATGGATGATAAAAAGGGGGGATGGATGGGTGGATGGATGGTGGATGAAAATGAAGATGGAAAGGATGGATGATAAATGGATGATGGATGAATGGGTGGATGGAAGAATGGAAGGGGTGATGGATGGATGATAAATGGATGTGGATGAATGGTTTGGGTGGGTGAATTTGGGTGGATGAATGGTGATGAAAAGGATGGTGGATGATAAAAAGGATGATGGGGTGGTTTAAAGAATTTGGGTTAAATGGGGTGATGGATGGATGAATGGTTTATGGAGGGGTGGATTTAATTAAGGATGATAAAGGATGATGGATGGATGGATGGGGTGATGGATGGGTGATGGATGGATGGATGAATCCAAAAGGATGATTTGGAAAGGTTTATAAATGGATGGGTGGAAGGAGGGAGGATGATGGATGGAAAGATAAAATGGATGAATGGAAGATGGATGAAGGATGGATGATGGGTGGATGGATGAATGGGGTGAAAATGGGTGGGAGGATGATTTAAAAGGATGATGGAAAGGGTTTGGGTGGATGGTGAATGGGGTGGATGATTTGGGGGGGTGATGGATGGATGGTTTAAAGAAAGATGGAGGATGATAAATGGATGAATGGAAAATGGATGGATGGATGAAGGATGGGGGGATGGGTGGATGGATGAATGAATGGATGATGGGGGCCTGGTTTATAATGGGAAAGAATGGATGATGGAAAAAATGGGGTGAATTTGGGTGATTGGAAAGGGTGGGGTGATGAATGGGTGGTGATGGGTGGATGGGTCATGGGTGGGTGGATGATGGAATTTAAAGGATGATGGGGTGGATGGATGGGAAAGGATTGAGATGGAAAGGAAAAGATGAATGGATGGGTGATGGATGGATGGGAAAGGTATGGAAGAATTGGATTTTGGGGGGGAGTTGGGGTTGGGTGGAGGGGATGGAATTTAATTGGGGGAATGATTGGGGGGTTGGGGGGGGTTTAAAAAGGGTGGGAATGGGAATGGGGGGGTGGGATGGTTGGGGTGATGGGTGTTTGGGGGGGAATGGGGGATGGGGGAAAGGGGAAAGGAAGGGGGCTGGGAAACGGGGGGGGGATGATTTTTTTTTAATGGGGTTGGTTTTGGGATTTGGGGGGGGGAAAGGATTGGGGGAAAAAAATTTGGGATGTTTAATGGAGGGAAAGATGGATTTGGGTTGATGGATGGGTGATGGATGGAGGGGATTATGAAAAGGTTTGGGTGATGGATGGATGAAAGGATGATGGATGGATGGGGTGATGAATGGATGGAAAGATGGGGGGATGTGGGGTGGGTGATGGATGGGGTGGATATGAAAAGGATGGATGGGTGGAAAGGATGGGTGGATGGATGGATGGAAGTTTAAAAGGGAAAAGGATGATGAATTGGGAAAGGATGTTAAAAGTGATGATTTGGGTGGATGGATGAATGGATGATGGATGGGGTGGAAAGGATGAATGATGGGTGGGTGGATGAAAGAATGGATGGGGGGGATGGATGGGAAAGGGGTTTTGGATGGGTGATGGATGGTTGGA